AATTTTTCGATCAATTGACGACTACCAAAAACTATTTTCTTTTCATCATAAGCAATTGAAGATCTATTTTTCAAATGTAATGTGCAAATTTATAACTCTTTTTGGCATCGACACAATTTTTTATTCCGCCGGGCAACTCGTAACGAAAGAAAGAATAGTCATAGTCCAAGTGGCGTTCGCAAACGGTTGAGTTCAAGCAACGATCGAGAGATTGTTGACATGGAGTCGAAAATGCTTTATGTATAATTTTATCGGCTCAACATGACACACGCTCGACTCTATTCGACTATGTATGTGTGTTTTTTTTTTGCGATGATCGAAATTAATATTCCATTCTTTCTTCGCTCATCATAATTCTAGTGGCACTAGACTAGTGCTTGAATCGGGCGATCTTCGTTTCAAACCAATTGCAATTTGTCTATATAAACTCGATATAAACTTCTTTTATCTCTGTCTATCTCTCTCTCTATCTTTCTTTTTTTTCTCTTTTTCGATCCAATTCTCTCTCTTTGTCGCTCATTCTCCCTCTCTCGCGTTATGCCACCATCGTGATTGTGCATTTTCGATTTGCATATGCACTGTTTGAGCATGAATGAAATTGCGGTTGGGGTCGGTGTCGGTGTGCCATTGTTTGCATATTCTTATTTGATCGACGTGCAAAAATGCACACGGAACATTGTGTGTGCATGACGTGTGCAGCTCTCGGTGTGTTGCATACCAACAAACTTTAGCAGTTGCATATCAACACTTGAGCCAAGTAGCAACACTTGACCATTTAGCTTGTACCCAAGCTGTTGGTTGTTTTGTTTACAGTGCCGCAAGATTGACAATATTTGTTGAGTTGGTTGTGCGGTTTACTGCGCGACAAAAAAAAAACCGTCCATTACGCCATTCGACATTGAAGCAATCCATTTCGATGGTTGTTTATATTTGTCCAGTTCATTCTCAGCTTCGTCACATCATTTTCAGCGCAAAGTTTGTGCCGCCAACTTTGGACTTCCTTTTCGACAAACGATGATGTTTTGTATCAACTACGATAGTTTTCTACGGTGAAACGAACTTATTTTTCTATTTCTATTTCATTTCCGATTTCCTCTCCTCTTCTCTTCTTAGCTTCTTTTCCTTTTCCCTCTTCAACTTCTTTTTATTCTTCTTCTTCTGCTTCTGCTGCGGCTTCTTTTACCTTCTCCTACTATTATTCATATTTTCTTCAATTCTCCTTCCTTTGTTGTTTCTGTGATAGCGTGTTAAAATTGGCGACGATTTCCTAATCAACAATTAGCATTCATCAGTATCTCGTGGGAGATTTGCTTACGAAACGAAACTGTTCTTAATTCGAATGCAAATAAACATTCTAAAAGGTCGTTCAGCCAATTACAGTGAGCAAATAGCGGCAAACCTCAGCTTGATTTACTTTTACAATTTTCGTACTCTTCGGCTTTTGATTGAGTTTCAGTATTGGCTTCAAGTTTTTATTTAGTCCCCAGTTTTTTTTTTTGCTTCACGCTTTTTTTTTCAGCTCCAAGTTGTTTTTTTCTGCTTCTGTTCAAAGCCGGAGTACAAAACAAGCAATGAGTGTCCTTCCGTGAGCAACTACAAAAGTATCATTCACTCGATATCATCAAGTGCTAATTGGCTATGTCAATGGTGAAACAAACAATAAAAACGTGAATAAATGAAATATGTCCGCGCGTTGCACATTCGAAGAAGACATTAGTCGTTTTGCCAGAAACTAACCAGACCCAATACACACAATCACATTCAAGTGGTTGTCAGCCCACCGACGAAATGATAATAATACGTGTTAAACGGTTGCACAGTAAAGCACATTACATGGTACAATATTGCACGGCAACGAGAAGTTGATTTGTTCGAGAGAAAAAATTGACATTGTCGTCCAAATAATTTTGTGTGCTGACCAAGAGAGCACACTTAACCCACGAACTGGGCAATCTCGTTTTACAACTTTATCGTTAATAAGTGAACAACGAGAATGCATGAATTAAGGCACTCGTAATAGCCGATTTTATGAGAGCCACTGCTGTTTGTACCCATTTTTTTTCTCTCTTTTTTCGTTTTAACCACGGTTGCGCGCACGCGCATGCCATCGCGCACAGAAAATTTAAGGGAAATTCACTTTGAGTCGACAGACAATCACTTTCAAATTTAAAAATACCGGAAAATTTACCTTGAAACCTCTTTATAATTTACGAGCATTTCGTCATTTGTCCCTTTTATCATGAGCTCCATTTTTTCCAGTCGCAGAGACTGGGGCGGCACAGAGCATCGTCAATTTATGGATGCGTATTTGGCATGCAAACGAAATGGAAACGCTATCTCAGACATGTACACATATCGATTGATCTCAATTGAGATTTGAATCTGCAATTCAATTGATTCCGCAATGCATGCTGTTCGTCACGTATGCTTCTTTCAAACAATTCTAATCCAGAAGTGGCGCACGCGTACATCGTGGATATTAGTCAGTGCAACGATTTAGAATCAATATTATTGATTCAATAATTGCTAAGAACAAATTAATTCCGTAATGAGTTTCAATTAACATTTATATTTTCTTATGGGAATACGGTAAGCGATCATAGGCGAACGTGCACTTTGTCGCGTGTCCGGCGTTTAATTTATTTCGTAATTATGTTCAACAATCAATGAATGATAGAAAATTATCGAGTCTTTTACGATGAAATTACGTGTCGGTTTTTGTTGACAATAAATTTTGAGTCGAATACAATCAACATTTGATCCAAAATGAAGCGAAACTGAAGCAAAACTGAACCAAAAGTGAACCAAAATTAACCAAAATATGATTCAAGTCTGGTCATTCAGTTCTAGATTGAAACAGAAAGTCGAAGCAATTGCTTTCATGACACTGTCGTGCATTTTATCCATTATGTCCATGCAATGGGCATGTATGTCAGGAACAACATTCTTGGAATAAACACAGAAAAGTCGGAATCGGAAATTATGGATTAAAATTCTGGGATTCAATCCGGTATTTGTGGTATGAAAAATATGAATTGAACATTCTGGAAGCAAATTTTGTGTATAAATTCGTCTGAAATGAAATTCAAATTTTTAATATGAATCTGACGGAGATCAAAATCAGATCTCGTTACCAAGAAGCGTTGAATTGAGACTAAAGGAGATCCATTGACCAAGAAGAACCATTGAACAAGAAGAGGCGTTGATTTGTGTTAGTTCGATTTAGTACGGTTCAGTGCAAGATCTGTCCAAAAAAAAAAAATACAATACAGCTTTAAATCAGCCCATTCCCTCACCAAATCCATTGATCTAAATCACATTCCCTACAATCAATTTGCTAAGCCCAAGACTTTCTCGTCAAAGACAAAGTTCAATCTGAAAAAAAGTCTCCAGCCAAACACATCGCCAGTCGCTCGAAAATTCCTTCGTTTTATTCGTTAATTAGATCGAAAAAATTCACGGCACACTTTATCATTTGCATATGCTATGGTCTATATGTTAGACCAAAAAACCAGTTTTAGGTATTATAAACAATATGATGCACATGCCCGTGTGTGCCGGACACACTAAATTTTTTTTTTGTGACCGAATTTTGACCTCATCGCGTGTGCACACGAATGACAATCCCAAAAAAAGCCAAAGCAACGCGACGAAAAGTGTGCGCGCGGCAACTTGTTGATATGATCACGCTCTCGATCAGAGATTACTATGGGATATTTTTATTCATATGGGATAAAAATATCGAATAAAAATAACAGATATTTTTCACGCGTTGCGTTCAACCAAATGCATAGATACACAATAGCAATTCTGCACACACAGAGTCGCTGTTTTTTCGTTACACTCTTCACACTTACGATGAGCTGCGCGGAGCGTGCATGCACATGTTTCGCTCACTTCTTTCTTTGAACACTCTTCGTGTGTCAACACAATGTCTGTGTGTGTATCGCTTGTGCCGTCTTTTGTAAACGACGTCAATGAGCTGGGTATGAAGAGTGTCGATCGAAAGAAAAGTGCGAAACATATAACTGCATGCATCGCGCAGCTCATCGTAAGTGTGAAGAGTATAATGAAAAAACAGCGACTCTGTGTGTGCAGAATCGGTATTGTGTATTTATGCGTTTCGTTGAACACAACGCGCGAAAAATATCTGTTATTTTTATGCGATATTTTTATCCCATATGAATAAAAATATCCCATAGTAATCTCTGCTCTCGATCTATAAAAATGAAGTGTTTCAAAACATGATGAAAACCCTCTCTATTTCACTTGGCATTGTTGTGGCCAATTTGGTTTTTGCGCTCTCTCGACCCGTATCTGATAAAGCAAAATGGTACGGTCATCGTTGGACCAACAGTGTTGATTCATGCGGTTGAACCGATTGTAACGGCAATTTATTATTTCACATTTTTCATAAAAATTGAAAATATCACTTGAGCGGATGTATTTTGAACCTGTTAAAACCTAAAACCAAAAATATCCATCCATCTTGAACGGTGTTGTGTGTATATGCCGCGATTGAATGCACTTTGATGCTTGCGTCAATGTTAGCCTCGATCGGAACGCTTTTCATGTTTTTCCTGAGTGAAACGCACTTGCATAGAATCACTGCAAACCAACTGTATATACCATTGTCTTGATAATAATTGGCAACGATTATTATTGTACACAAGCAATGGAACAGGAGACAATCATCATCATCGTCAACGCCGTCTCTTTTCGTCTCTCACGAAACCAATAAACACAGCAATGCAAAAGCGAGTCGCGCGCGCGCGCTCACACGCTATAAACCGAATGAACCCGGGGCGATCGAGCGAGAGAAAAAGAGAAAGAGAATAAAATAGAAAGAAACCCAGTCCGAAGCACACGATCAACGGAATAGCAGAAAACGGTTGGCACGTTGGATTCAACGTTGAACGATACGATACACACTCGCATACAACGGCAGAATGAAACAAATCAACAGGTAAAACAAATAACAATGCTGGCCACACGACGGTAGTATGGTTAAAATACTAAGACTATTCGCACGCGCTTTCTCATACAGTCTGCGCGAGCTCTAGCCAACTTACGGTCGCACATACAAATTTTGTTATTTTTTTCGGTTGCTCCTGCAATTTCGTTGGGTTTTTCTTTGATTAATCATTGAATAACAAACAAAAATTTGATTAACGACATCGAAAAGGCGTAAATAAATTTGATAAATAAGAAAAAACGTAAGTTTTTGACTAAAATGTGGTGATGAAAGTGTTCGAGAATCAAATGAGACGAGAGACAGCCAATTGCTTAAGTGTTATCAGTGCAATCAAGCGAAAAGACTGACGAAAAAACGAGCGCAATTTTTCAAACGAGACAGTGATTGACTTTTCCGCTGTTCACACTTTTAATTCACAAACAAATTTTATTTCGCCAATCGAATTTGTTTATTCATCGCAGCAAAATATTTGATTTCAGAGTAAAAAAGAAAAAGAAGAAGAAAGAAAAGTGATTAAATTTGTTGATCAACTGAGCAAATGAGTGAGTTTTATTTTTCGTGAATTTGTTGAATGTTCAGTGCATTTTGTGCTACAGAAATGGAGATTAGTGACGATCGGTCATTTTCAAGTGGTGTCGATCAAGAGTTTTTCTTTGTGTTTCATGGTGATGTTTTCGCATTGTGGATTTGTTTGTTGAGAATTTCGTACTGTAGCCCTACAACAGCGGCTGTGAACTACAATTTTCCCATCTATATGCCAAAACGGCACACTTTTCTCTTCGCACACAATCATTTGACGATCATAAAAATGGCATTCAATCATATACGGCGGCCGTATCTATAGAAATGGTGGCTAGTTGTTATAATAATTAACGGCATTGCTACCATTGCTGCGGCTGATGCCTTTTTTGCTGTTGTTTTGTCCAATGAAAAACTTTCTACTTTCAAGTAAGAAAAAACATAGAGAAAGAAAATGAAAAATTACGATGCTACAACGATTCGGGCCCAGTCAACATACTAAGAACTATTTATGCAGTTGAATATATGAGTTTCTCCGCAATCCGTTATGTTTTCGAACGAAAATCCGAAAGAAAAGCGACACACAACGCATGACCAAAATCACTAATCAAGTGACCACAGAAAACCGTTTTGTAACATTTTTCTTAATCATGGCTTAAAAACACAGTCAAAACCGAATTAAAGCCACCGGTTAAATTAATTGGTTTAATGGAATTCAGCAATGAAATATGGTTTTCCATCACAAATGTCGTGCGAAATGGATAATGAGTGTGAGCGACAGAGAGCGAGCAAGAGTGAGCAAGAAAAAGAGCGAGAGAGAGCGAGAGAGCAAGAGAGAGAGAGAGAGAGAGAACTAGCGCGCCGCGAGTGAAATGATTACATTCTCTCCTCATATTGCTGTAATAAAGAAACAGTGTTAATTGTTTCAAATACACTTTTTCCCCTATGATCAAAAGCGGTGACTACATTCAGCTAACATGATTATGGTTAAAAGTGGAAAATTGGTCATTTGCTGAAATTAGTTAAATTCTCCGGTCGAATGTTTCGGACGAACTCATGAGATACTTCATTTCAAATAGTCTTCACTGGTCAAAACGGTGCGAGATAAATAAGATAAAGACAGTAACAGCTAGTAATGTGAGTGTGTGATAGTACCGTGATTGAACATTAACTGTTGGTAGATTCAAACTAACGGAATGTTCAGGTGATCTGTGCAATCGTCATGGAAAGAAAAAAAAACGGACACCGACTTTTGCATAATTTCAATTGAAGACTTATAGTGAAGAAAAACCGTGGGTTTGATTCTTCTTTTGATACAGACCGTTGATAAAAATATTTTCATGAATTGACGGCTTTTGCCGCCGTTATCGTCGTTGCCATCATCGAAATCACTTGTGCAACTCAATTGAAATGTTATCTTCAGCTAGAGTTGAATGATGGTCCATCAACCACCATTGGTGGAACAAAGATCGTGTGATCGCTGAGAGATCATTTCTTTGTGTTCAACAACGATGAAATTAGCACGCTTGTCGAGTCAATTTTGACGATCCACCACGTAATAAACAAAATAATTGACACACACAGACACCAAATGGCCATATACGAGCTGAGATTAATCATTCGTTTCAATTGGTTTTCACTCTTGCTCTTTCTAACGCTCTCTTTCTATCTATCGTTATCTCGCTGTGCATTTGTCTTCGAAACAAACTCGGTTTTTCACTCTTTCTCTCTGCTGCTGTCGCTCATTCTCTGTTTGACGCTGTCTGTCTCTGTATCTCATTAACTCGTTCACACACTTTTCCAAAACCTACCGTTAGATTATGCAGCCAAAAGAGTTCGTGTTCATTGCTCGCCATCATAATTATAATTATAATTGGAGCATTATTACGCGCGCATATGCAAGACGGCGTCACCACTTGCAATCGATACTGCTTATTTGGCCGAATGCTCGATCGACGATGTAACGAAAAGTCGTTTTTTTTTCTGCTACTCAAACAAATATTATTGAAGCAATAACGTGATTAATATCCAACGATACTTTTAATGGACAATTTTAATATTGAGAGGCGCATGATGCGGACTTGAAATGCCGGCGCATTGAACATTGTTTGTCACGTAACGCGTATCGACCGGTTGATTCATCGAATCAACAACCGACTGCGATTTTCTCAAACAAACAAACTATCACCTGTGCGATGCACACTGCATTTTCAAATAAACGACTTTTCTCCATTTCTTGTATTCGTTTAGAAATAAAATAACAACCACGACAAAATGCCTCAAACAAACTGAATGAAATTGAATTGCTAAATTTGGGTTTCACTTTGTTTTGCTTTTTTTTCTACTCTGTGTAGCTCCAATGTAAAATCGACCATAATCATTGCGCATTTTCTTCAACAAATTAGCATTTGGAAACCACTCAATACACACATATGACGATCGAACATTTCAACTGAAAAACCAAGCAAACCGTTTTTTTTTCTTCATCGAAGCTATTTTACTATCGCATATTCATCAGCAATATGGACAACAAGCGACAGGTAAGCAAATACACTCTCTCGTTTGCATTCAATGACTTTGCATTCAAATGCACCGTGCACTTTTCTAATTTCATGTAACCATTTTTAGCATGGATATTAAACATAGCCATATTTATACTTATGTTTGAAACAAGTAAATGTGCTTGTGAAAAGTGCCTCTTTCTATCTCAACACAATTCTCTTTTCGGTCGGTAACAATCTCTTCTTCGAATGAAGTTTTTCTTTTCTGATTTAAAAAGAAACTTCGTTGATTGCACACAAGTTGACACAAGTTATCTCTCTTTGTTAGCTACTATTAATTTTTTATTTTGAAACCAGTTTTTTGAATTTTTTTTATCTATAAAAATCATTCATTTCTATTTGTTATTCAAATCAAATAAAGAATCACTTGATTTGTTTTTTAAATTTTTTAAAGCCAATTCTCATGTTTACAGCGGACATAAAACTGATGTATGCAAAACATGCATTTTAGTCAAAATGATTTTACGACGCCATCGTTCAAAAATGACGTCGTAAAATGCATATTTTGCATGCACCAGTTTTATGTCCGCTGTAAACATGAGAATTGGCTTTGATAAAGTTTCTCATTTGACAACAGTTATTTTGTCATAGAATTTTGCATTAAATTAAACAACCAGCCCATGTTCATTCATTTGATGATGGATTAGTTATTACGGGACAATGTAACCGAAAAGTCGTTTTTTTTTTCTGATCAAGTTTTGAAAAGAGTTTCTGATAATTTTAAATATACTTCTGATTATTGTACTTTTTTTTTCTGATCAATTTTGGAAAAAGCATTTCTGATCATTTTTGATATTTTTCGGCTAATTTCCAAATTTTTCTGATCATATAAGGTTTTTTTCTGATCAAATTAATAAAAAAAAGTTTCTGATCATTTTGAATATTCTTCTGATCATTTTTGATATTTTTCTGGTAATTTTCCATATGTTCGGATCATAATTAATTAATCCATTTCTGTGAAGGTTTTCTCGATTGATATTCAAGTTTGAGTTCTTTTTTGGCTTGGGGCTTTCTGACATACTCCATTTTGTGGTATTCTTTTCTCTGATACTCCATTCACTCTTGAAAAAAAAGTTCGAAATTGCGTACTATCAACAGTGGGATATTTTCGTCGATCGTGTTCTTTCGTCGGCTGTGATGTAATATCATTTTTTACAAATGACAACAGAGAACATAGCTTCTGATGAGGATCCGCAGGGTCCGCATTACCCCCCCCCCCTTGAGTGCGCTAAATAAATTACCCCCCCTCTGATTTTAGAAAAATTCTGTTTACTCCACTAAAAATTTGTCTCTTATTAAATTAAAGATGTATCACTGTTTTACATTGAATCTTTATTCAAAAACCATTTGTATTTTAAAAACGCAGTCATTGAAATTGTAATTAAGTTTTAGTTTGGTAGAGCCTCGACCTTCAAAATCCCAATCATTTTGAACATCTCAACCGATGACCTTCTTATTGATCATCTTTTTTTGCGTCAGATTGCTGTGGATAAAATCGATATAATTGAAAATGTGCACTTTTTTTTACTGATAATTACAATTGATTACTCATAAAAGTCACTTCACCTTTTTTCGAATAACACCAATTTCTATTTTGATCGTTTTTTCGCTTGATTTCGAGTAACTAAACTTGAGTATTTTGAAATCACATATAATGATATAATATTTCACATAACTAATTTTGAAGTGTATACTTAAGAAAATTGATTTTGAAATGAATTTGTTCCACAATTTTCCTTACAAAAATTAGATTTTACCCCCTCAATTTTATGGAAAACATTTGAAATTACCCCCCTACATTTTGATTGAAATTTGAAAATTTACCCCCCCCCCCCCCTCGGCGCGCGGTCGTCAGAAGCTATGACAGAGAATCATTTTTACCATTTTTCGAGTTTTCCACTTTCAAATATGAATATTCTCGATCGAACCCGTTTCAAGAAAATGGAATATTTCTAAACATTCAGAATTTTGTGGGCACTTGAAATTAATTTTCTACCAAGCATTCAAACCTTTTGCTACAAAATGGTCGAAAAATCAAACATTTTGTATGGAAAATCGAATGTTCGGTAATGGGTAAAATAAAAATCATCATAGAAAAGAAGATAGATTCCATCTATATATTCCTTTTTTCTTTGAGATTTGAAGATTTAGCTCATTTTTATACAAATATAAAACTAAAACGGTGGAAATTAGCATCGTATTCAATGTATGCATTGAGACGCTGGAAAAATTTTCGACGCGCCACCTATAGCAAAAGTTTCCGTGCCAAACAACTACTGTGACAGCATACATTCTGTTTGGCAAATGTATTCTGTCATTACATCGCAGATTCGACGAAACGAGTGAGAATGACAGAGGCGGCATTGATGGTGCGTCGAAGAAATTTCCAGCCGATTTTGCTGTTATTAATGCCCACCGAACTAAGATGTTGAAATTTTTTCTCAAAATTTCGAGAGCAGCTCAAATTATAAGCTCATAAAAGAAATGAAATGATAATTATAATTTGATTGAATAAATTGAATTGAAATGGAACTGACTTGTTTCTAAGATCTAATTATGTAGGGTCAGAATAAAAAAAAAACATTCAGAGGACAAATGAACTATTGCGACAAACAAATTCCCTCAGAATATTTTAGTTTCAAAGTGCAACATGGAATTTTTTTTTATATAGAGTTTACAACAACAACTCCATATGATAAAGTTTTTTTTCATGTTGCGTATCAAAATGTGTGTGTAAAATCATGTCATTTCCGTATGACATTGTAATTATTGATCACATCGAACTTGAGCTCCATGCTGTTTGCTGTCTGTAAATGAGCCGTAAATTGTTGTCTGTAAATGAGCTGTAAAACAGAAAATTCGGAGACCTGTAAATGACACTGATTTGTGAAAGTCGCATTGTACGACTGCGATACACATCTCTAAAAACTATTACTTGTTTTCATCCGTATGGCGCGCCGACCGAGCTAACACTCACAAACTGGTTGAACTGGTGTTTTGCGATATGCCCATCTAAAAAAAATATGAAAAAATTGAAGTGCGCAAAGACAAAAAAAGCATTCTTTTTTCTCTCCTCCATTCTGATATTAAAGTGCATTCTGTTTGAGATGACCGTAAAATAAAAATAACATTCCGGTTCCATTCTAAACAATTTAACATTCCATTCAACGCTGAAATAATTAGAAAAATTCACGAAACAAAAAACGAACGAAACAAAAAACGTTGATCAAAACTAAGACTAAGAATGCGTGTAGGCTCTGCAATCAATTCTTGCAGTTGGCCAATAGATTTCCGTTCGCACAAAAACAAGAAGAAAACAAAACGTAATTATGTTATGAATGGTCAAATATAATCGTTTGCACAATCGCTTTGTTCGATTCGATTTACGCATCGATGCGTAGGCATTTAATTCGATTGCAAATGTGCGGCAATTAAATCCAACAAAATGTGCACGCATGAAGACGATTGCAAGGTAATTATTTTCGGTTTGGCTTTTTTTTTTGTTCTTTCGATTCTGCGGTTGAATCGAAAACACGTTTTAATTATTCCAAAACTAGACAAGGCTCCAACTGCGACAACAACAATAAAAACCGTCATTTTGTCTGCAATTCAAAGTTTACATGGTTCGCCGTGCGTTAACACGTGAAATTTGTATATGGTTCGGAGTACAATTCGGCTTATGCTCAATCGGTGTCGGGAATTCTGGTTTTTGCCAACGAGCTACAAGACAGTCCACTTACTTAGCAATAAAATAAAACCGTGGACTCATTCATTGATGCAAAAACACACCAATTTAATTTGCTTACGCACACAAGCAGATGATTCTGGACTTTTCGCTCGCCGACCGTAAAAACAAACGGGATCATTATAAACACGTATGTCGATGTATTGGCTGGTTTTGGCTCAAACCATATTTTTTTTTCGTATCTTTTGCACACATTTTTCATTCGCCTCACGCATTTTGATCGTGTATGATGGACTATTGATGGCTTAGACCGTTTCAGCAGCAAATAGTCGTGCATGACTTGATCAAATTGTTGAGTCTCTGACTGAGACTCTCAGTCGTAGAATCTTCTTTTTCGGATACGGCCTTACTTAAATACAACTAATAAAAGAGGCAAATAAACAGTTGGCTCAGTTGAGAGAAACATCAACGTCACAATGTGACGGTCACATATGACCCCACATTCGCTCAAGTCAAAGTAATAACTTATTTTATTAGACAATAAAATGAGCATTTGTACAATGTTGTACGTCCATTTACAGAAATAAATAGAAATTCAATTGAAATTGTGTTGTTTTCTGTGGCTCAAAAACCCGACACCAAACTCGACTCGCATATGAGTCGGGGGGACGATTCCAAATTCGAAAATAGCAATAAAACCCGATGAGCCGAAGGGAATTCCCCCGAAACAATGTACACTCCATTCAAGGAATCGGTTTTGCGTAAACGGAGTACGTGGCAAGCATTAATAATTAGCTACCGACAAAAACATAACACAAATATTGAGATGTATACACAGAAATTGTTGTACTTTGTACTTGCTCATAGTCTTTTTTGGTGCCAGAGTGTTCATGCCAATGTATCCAAATGAAATGTAAAGTATTCAAATGATTTTTTTTCAGTATCAAACCTTTCCTAAGAAATGATTATAATCAAGACAATAATTGTTGCATTTCAATAGCAATTCTGAAATACTAACACCCAAAATCGGTGCGGTGCGGTGGCTGAAAAAAATCCGTTGAAAAATAAAGAATCATTAATCCAAATCGATCGTTAACCGCATGAAAACAAATGCTTTCGTAGTACAACAATGTTGTACATTCAAAATCAACAAGATCGTATCAAATATTGTGTTTATTTTGGCACTGATGTTGTCAGGCCCCTTTTCGCACCCATTTTTGAGAGAGAGAGAGAGATGGAGGGAGAAAGAGATGGTAAGAGAAAAGGATTAACTGATTTCGGACAAAAATGACTT